ATCATGTGATCACTGATTGGCGAATCAGTGATCACATGCAAAGTAGTAAGCAAGATGTCACTTGTGACATCATTGCTTACTATGTGTGAAATCTGTGAGTGATCACAGAGGTCACATGGTACAGGGATATTCACAACAGCCTTGTACCATGCGACAAGCTGTGACCAATCACAGCTCACTCAGTATTTCTCAATGACTGCAAGAATGCAGACAGAGAGAAAAGAGAAATGATTGCTTTTACATCCTATATGGGTGTAAAAGCAATCAGTGTAAAAAAAAAAAAAATCTTCATCACCCCCCACAAGTAGTACACTGTACTGCTAGGGTGACAGTATGTAAAAAAAAAAAAAAAAAATAAAAAATAATAATATAAAAAAATAAAATAAAAATGTAAAAAAAATGTTTAAAAATTATAATTTTTGGTTATAAACTAATTTGGATTTTTTTTTTTTTACTAAAAAAATAACGGAATAAATTTTGGCCAAGATTTATGATGAAATATTATTTATTTGCAAAATTTTATAAAAAAAAACACTTTTTTTCAAAATTTTTGGACTTTCATTTACATAGTAAAATAAATAAAAATCCCAGTGGTGAATAAATACCACCAAAATAAAGCTTTATCTGTCTCAAAAAAAATGGTAAAAAATTCATATGGGTACAGTATTGCATGACCACGCAATTGTCATTCAAAGTGTGATAGCGCTGAAAATTGCCCTGGACAGGAAGGGGATAAAAGTGTCCGGACAGGAAGTGGTTAATGCCTGAACAAAATTTTGCAACTTTGACATGTGTTAGTAAAATCATACATATTATCGCAAGTACTTTGTGCATCTCGGTGGATTATACCTTGTTTTTTTGGGACAAATTGGGCCTTCTTTGGTGGTAAATGGTAACAGATGACTCCTGGATTTTTTTGTTATCAAAGAAAAATTTGCCCAAAATAGTAAAAAAAAAGCTTTTTTTTAAATTTAGCTGTGTACTTCTTGCTACTACTATACCCTACCACCAAAGAACAACCCATAATACATTTTCCTGCTCCTGACAATCACAGTGATACCACATATGTGTATGTTATTTGTTGTTTGTACCCGTAGTAAGGCCCAGAAACAATAATGTGCATTTTGTTTTTTTTATCCTACCTAAAACACGCTGACACTGACAATAATTTTGATTTTTTTTTTCAATCCTGCCCAAAATTTACTGACCCCTGACCTTTGATCCTTACTTGACCCTAACAATAACCCGACACCTATCCAGATCTAAGGTATTTTTTTCTTTTTTTTTTATTAGTATTGTTATTATTATTTTTTCACACACATTTGTTTACTTTCTCTCTGTAAAACACAGGGGAGGGGTGCCCAGTGATGGATCACTGTGATAGCCAATTAGAGGCTATCGCAGCGATCAGGTAATCTGAAACCAGGAGTCCTGGGTCCTGATCATTTGTATGGGACCTGGGGCTCCCGGTGACAGCCCGGTCAAAGAGATATGTGGCCTCACGGGAAAAAAAGCCCAGTTCTGTGAGCCCACATTTATGTGTATGGTCGGCAGGAACGGGTTAAAATTAATTCATAGGTAATAGTGACAGGGGTAGTTGATACAGGGAATATCCAATTGCACTGGAATCCAATTCCAGTGCAATTGATACAATTCCCTGTATCAAATGTATCCAATTGATACAGGAAATATCCAATATCCACTGCAGTGAACTTGATCATGCCTTATTGCATTTTTGCCTTTCTATAGATCGGGGGTCAGCAACCCATTGATTGTGATCAGGGGCAGACTGACCATTTGGAAACTTGGGCACTGCCCGAGGGCCCGGGGTCAGTAGGGGGCCCCATGAGATGCCCCTAGTACCTTTTTCATAGGCTTTTTTGAGTTTGGGCAAGGACACAGGGGCCCCATGATCCCCTATTGCCCAGGGGCCCCATGAGTTGTCAGTCTGCCCCTGATTGTAATCGACTAGTAGACCGCAGGGAGCTGACAGGTCGATCGTGACCATGTTTCTGCCTCCCCCCAGCCTTTGCCGCTCTCATGTTACCGGCAGAGCGGAGAGCAGGAGACAGCATAGTGCTGGATGGAGGGCAGGGTCAGGGGCAGAGGCTGCTCCATGATTGGTTGCTAGGCTGTCCTAGCAACCAATCACCAAGATTGGTATTATGAAATATTGCAGCTCCTGCTCCCGCCTTCCACCCAGCACTGTGCCATCTTCTGATCTCCGCTCTGCTGTACACACGCTGACAGGTAGGAAGTGTTACCTGTGAGTGTGATATGAATGGGACACAGGAGACACTGGGGAGGGGGGACACAGGAGACTCTGTGAGAGAGGTGGCTTAGGAGACACTGTGGGAGGGGGGACAGAGTAGACTACAGTGGGGGAGATTTTGATGAGAAAAGGACAGGGGACACTGCTTTGGGGATGGGGAGGCAGAGGACACTTGGTAGGAGGCAGATAATACTGCTATGAGGCAGGGTAGAGAAAACTACACAATGGGGGGGTGATGTGAAGGGGAGCAGAGGTTTTGGGGGTACAGGACACTACTGGGGGGAAGGGGGCAGAGGATACGACAGTGGGGGGAATGTAGTGTGAAGGGGTGCAGAGGCCACTGCTTTGGGAGGGTACAGGACACTGCTTTGGTGGCTACAGGACGCTGCTTACGGAGGGGTACAGAACACTACTGTGGGGGGGAGGGGGGCAAAGCACACAGCACTGAGGGGGTACAGGACATACAGTTATAATATAATATTCTTATAGGCACAGCTCCTTTATGTTTATATATGTGTGTGTATATAAATATATATTTATTTATTTTTAATAAACAGAATTTTTAGCCAATATAATATTACATTTGAGATTGCTAAAAATTGCCATTAAGTGCCAGCATTAAAAGTCAGCCAAAAGAAAAAAATGTAAAAAACTGGATTCCAATTCTCATTTGAATTATGTTAATGCATAAATGGTTATCTCTTTCAATACATTTCCTTTATCCACAGACATCACAAACACTTATTTAACAGCCGGTACTATATAATTAACTGTGGGAGTGATTCCCGATCCCAAAGCATCTGCACATTTTTCAATTAGAGTGGCTGTTCAAAATACATAGGTGTAATTTGTATCATGAAGACAATTGGAGCTTTCAGTTAAACTATTTAAGACATTCTGGCCTAGAAATCCATCCTGTCTCCACAGCCAGGAAGAGGAGTGGTGGTTATGTAAGCCGTGTACCGGGGTGGGCTCCCCAGGATACAGTGAAGTCACGAACGAGGAAAGCAACCCTGACACCAGCTTTTGCCACAACAGAATTTTACTTAGATGTGGCAAATAAACATAACCACAAATGCTGAAAACATACAATAAATTTACATACACCCAGCCCAAAGGCTGAGACCCTTGTGCTGCACAGCACGGCACCTTCTGATGGATGAAGGTAGAAAGTGAAGTAATTTACCTACTGGTGGGCACAAATAAGCTGCCACACCTTACCTGTTATTACCCTAAAAGAGCAGGAATCAGTGTATGGTATGGGCTAGCCTGCGGTGCAGCACAACAGCTTACAATCTTACACAAATCTACAGTATTCCCCCTCCCATAACTGGTCCTGTAGTACGTGCCTGAGTATTCCTTCTGAGCAAAACACCAGTCTGGCTTGAGTTTGTAGGATTTTATCAACTCTCCAATGTGAAATGTCACTTTAAGTTGTGGAGTCCTTCCAATGATCAGTAATAACACTTGTGGCAAGACACAAACAGGGACCCTAACTAACTAAAGACCTGGACTCAAGGCGCCAACACTGAAATGAGGTGCGTGCACGATCTTACCGACCGGGGTCTGCTTTGCATCCGCTGGTGACTCTGAACAGAACAAATGTCTCTCCAACAGGCCTGCGATATTGTAGTGTATGCTGCATTGCTCCTCGGCTTTCATCAGCTTCCTGGCAGCAATCTCATCAGCTTCACCCAGCTGCAGCTCACACGGCCCCTTCATTCAGCATTCTCCAGAACATGGCTCCTGCATTCAGCATCGTCCAAAACATGGCTGCAGTCCCCTCTTCCTGTTCACTAAAAACCCCACCTCTTCATGAATATACAAATATCTATGCAGTCTGAGCCTGTGTTAGAAAAACAGTGACATCTTGTGGCTAAACCGCAGAATGTCAGTCAAAACATCAATTTACTCCACACCATAATTTACTGCACACAGTGTTCAAACAATGAGAGCCGTTTCCCCATCTCACAGTTATCTGTCCTTAGTGTGGTTAGTTTTGAAACATTGGGATTTCGGTACTTCCCGTTTCTGTTCTGGTTTCTGCAGGCTTCTGTATGCATTTAGATGTTATGCTGTGTCAACTTTTTTTGTCCTGATTGGATTTCTTCATTGTGAACACTGGAGTTTTCCTTTCTCTCTCCTAATGAGAGCTCTGTTTCCCTTTTAATAATGACTGTGCTAAATTTAGACAAAACTATAATAAAGTAAAAGTATCTTTAAAGAGACAGCCTACAACCTGACCACTGCATACTCCCCTCTCCAGAATTTCAGCTCTTTAGAGGTAGCAGTGACATCCCAATATTCACCATGTGCCAGAGTTTGGGCCTAGTAATTGGTGGCTAGGATTAAGTTATGCATTATGGCAGTGGTGTCCAAACTGTGACCCAGGGGCCGGATGGGACCCTTTGCCTGCTTTTATCTGGCCCTTAAGGCAATAGTTCATCCTCAGGCGCCAACAATGGTGCATAATTCCCTCCACTAAAACCAATGAAGGGGCACAATTCCTCTCAATAACATTAACGATGGGGCACAGTTCCTCCAAATAACACCAATGATGGGGCACAATTTATCCCAATTACACCAATGATGGGGCATGTTTCTTCCCAGCCATTGACACCAATGAGGGGGCTCAATTCCTCTCACAGACATCAAAGATGGGGCATTGTTTACTCCCACTGATGTCAGGGCCAGGGGCGGAATGACCATTTGGAAACTGGGGCACTACCCGAGGGCCCGGGTCAGTAGGGGGTCACATGAGATGCCCCTGGTACCTTTTTCATAGGCTTTTTTGAGTTTTGGCAAGGACACAGGGGCCCCATGATCCCCTATTGCCAGGGGGCCCCATGAGTTGTGAGTCCACCCCTGGTCAGGGCATTTTCCACTTCCAATAGCCACAGTCCGGCCCCTCTAAAGTCTGAAGGACAGTAAACTGGCCCCTTGTTTAGAAAGTTTGGAGACCCCTGCATTATGGGTTCACATGCACTCCAAAACCAGAAGCACTGGGCAGTTTGCATAAGCAACCACAGAGGGAGCTGTAGGAGTGTGCTGGAAAAGCAAGTATGAAGGGATCAGAGATGAGCCAGTCACTGTTATTTTGACCTGATTGGGTTTTCTGCAGCAATAAAACATGTGGTTGAAGTAAAGTTGAAGTAAAGCTGACAACACATAGCACATTGGAGGGGATTTAATAAAACTGGAGCACTCAGAGTCTGATGCAGCTGTCCATAGTAACCAATCAGCTTCTAAAATAATAGTTCAGTGCACTATATATTATTCAAATGAAAGTCTATATAAAACAACCATGTTACAAAAATAACCACTTTTTGTCTTTTTCCTCTGTTGCCTCTGTATGGCCAGAATTCCAAAACCCATAATGGCAATTGCAGTATCTTCAGAACATTCGGATACAGTATCCATTACTATTCCGAAAATTCGTCATGAAAGATCCATCGCTGAGGGAAAACAAATGTGGCACCAAAAGGCATGGCTACACGGTCACACGTACATTACATCATTTCCACAGCTATGCTACGGCGTTCGTACAATATTCTCATGCATACAAGCACAACGCTTTCGACCAGCAGCTTACAATCGATGATAACCGGACAATCGTTCATCCAATTTTCTTATAGTGTGTACGGGGCATAACTTCAGCTTGTTTAATTGAACACTGACAATTAAAACCTAGAAGCTGATTGGTTACTATGCACAGCTGCACCAGATTCGGTGTGCTTATAGTACATCCCCCATTGTATTTGTACATCTCATTTAAGTTTTTTTGAACAATAAAAAGAGATGGCTTACCTAAATGCATATAACTTTGAAATTGAATTTTTGATAGGCCCCCACATTATTTGGCACATTGAAAGGAGATTGTCAAGAGATTATACAATCCCATCGTAACATGTCAGCAGCCTCACAGAGCAGGCCTTTAATATTTATAAGAATGCATTGGGGTTTTTTTAATGAACACAAACGGTTATCTAACTGGAAGAAGTGGAGAGACGGGGTGGCAATGTCATACTCCCCACCTTGCCCAACTCCAATATTCTAAAAGATATCCTAATGTGTAAATAAAGATCAAGCTATTAGGTTGGACATAGGTGGCTCAAATTGTGTCCAATTCCTGCTGCAATTTCAGCCATTAATGACCCTGCAAGCACAACCTGGATCAAAAAAAGTTGATTTAAAAACACACTTATCTGGATGGAAATGTATCTGCTGAACAGTGATTTTATCCTATTAGATGTAATCACTGGGGTTGATTTACTAAAACTGGAGATTGCAAAATCTGGTGCAGCTGTGCATGGTATCCAATCAGCTTCTAACTTCAGCTTGTCCAATTAAGCTTGGTTTCTATGCAGAGCTGTATCACAATATGCACTATGCTCTCGCCAGTTTTAGTAAATCAACTCCACTGTGCGGCACGGTCACTGTATTCAGGCAACTGCAGTGAAGAGCCAGTAGTAGAAATTCTTCCATACGTGCCGTTTAGCTTGCAACAGTGTGTCCCCATTGAAAGATTTCCCTTCTTCTCCTATCCTGGTGACAACTGTAACATTTTGGATTTGGGTCACTTCACAACTGAAGAGTGTTACCTACACCTGCCTTTGTATTAAAGTGAAGAGGGAGTAATCCTGTGTGGCTTCTTTTGCTGACCTATGACATAGGTGTCGGGGAGGAAGAGGGCAAGTGGGAATGTTCATTGATTGCATGTGAGTGTTACATTTGCCTGAACTTTTTGTTCCATTGATATTGGGAACTGTGTGACCCTGAACATATTTTACTTTTTCCTGTAAGTATATGCCCTGTAAGTATAAGCCCATTTGTTCTTTACATGCAAATTCTATGCAAAACCAAAATAAGCACTTTTGAAATAAAAAAGTAAAGAGTGGAGACTTAAATGCAGAGACTTGACATTGAGGGTAGGCCAAAAAGTGAGGAACTCAAAGGAGAAATCGGTAAGTAACTATAAGGTATAAGGTATATAACCATGATAGTGGAGGGGGAACTGAAAAGAATAAGAGCACTTATTCTTTAAAAGCATGTCCTAGACCAGGGGTCTCCAAACTATGGCACCCCAGCTGTTGAAGTACTATAAGTGCCATCATGCCTCTGCGAGTCTTGCTTGTGGCTGTCATGGGACTTGCAGTTCCTCAACACCTGGAGGGCCATAGTTTGGAGACCCCTGCCCTAGAAAAATAGTTAACAGGGGCAGCTGCCAAGCAGGCACTCTGGTAACATTAGTATTTGCTTTTAAATGGAAATATCCCTACTAAATTAATCCAAATGGCAGATGTTATACAGTACACCATATCCCAATATTTTTTTTATTAATATTCTAAAGTTGTTTTTGTTGTAATTGGACAGAGGTTGTACAGAAGTGTATAAATGTGTACCCAACAAAATACATTCCCTTAACCAAAGGATACTGCAAGACACATATAAATAAGACACAGCTGGATTTAAACCAGATATGGGCCTATTCTCTTTTCGTAGCTTGATCGCTAAACCCTTGTTGTCCTTGTGCCTTTGGTGAGACTTTCCTTTACTTCCTGTTCTGAAGACACAACAGAAACATGTTTTTGAACTAAGAGAAAACACCTTCTTGGCGGTCACTGGAACAGGTCTCCCCATTGGATAATTTAAAAACAAAAAAAAAGATTGGTCGTCACCATCTATTTGCAGATTTATTAGAAGTGGTAAAATCCAAAAAAAATTGCACACAAAATAAAAGCATAATAGAATATTGAGTCATCTGTCCTATGCGGTTATTCTTTTACCAAATGTGAGTGCAACTTTATTTGATTTTACCACTTCTAATAAATCTACAATTAGATGGTGGCATCCAATATTATTTTGTTTTGAAAGTGGAGAGTTAATGTCTTAATACTCATACAGAGGAGCAGCAGCCATGTCCAGTGGATATACTATATCTATTGCTTCTTAGCACAAGGTTTTATTACTTAGTCCATACACCTCATGTTCTGGACTTTTTGTGTCTTATCTACCCCCAACTTCACCACCTTAGCTCTTCTAGCACCATATGGTGTGTCATGTTTGTGCTATTGGATAATTTTCCTTTGAATCACATTCCATTGACAGCTGTAGGGTTGTGGATTTTCTTTAACCCTGTCCTAGCGACAATGGTCACCAGGGTAGGGTGAATCATCTTAGTGGGGACATATGCACCAATACAATGTTTTGACTTTATAAACTTCTATACTTTAAGATCCATTTTCCACCCAATATCTGCATATACAATGCATGCCAGGACAGTTCTCCCCCAGAGTTTGGTGGGAGGTATAGATAGTTATGGGTCAGATCAGAGAACAAATGAACACTGACTGGACACATTTCAGGTTGCCCAGTTGATTTACCAACACTCAAAAGGACAACTGTTGCGATATTTCTTACCAGATTAGACAGTTGTCCAGCTGCATTACAATAGTTTATGTTTTATTCTATTTAAGTATCACAGCAACAGACATTGCTGTAATGCATCAGAGCCATTCATTGACAGAGTCTACCTTTAGACTTGGATCTTAATGGTGGTTTAAACTGCCAAACTAAGTCAATCACAAAAAGTGAGCTGCAGATGTGGAATGCCCTGTGTTGACCAGAGACCAGAGCATCTCTAGTGCTTTTTACATGCAGTATATATATCATACATTATTAATTCACAACCTTTGTTCACACCCTAGTCTTTTTCTTTTTATGCCATTACTACTCTTAGTTACATCCCTTTCTCTCTATAAATAAATCATTAGGGCAAAAACTTCTTGTGTGTTTTACTGAGCATTTTTCCTAAGGGTGTTTGAAATATTTCTAGATGCAGCCAATGCCATGAACCCACTTCAGTCAGGAGAGCAGAACTAAACCCTCAACTTCATGCCAAGATCTTGTTCTTTTCTTGATTCCAAACATAACATAGTTCTTATAGCACACAAATGGCAATTAACCATTTAAATTATAGCCTTGGAAAGAATTTATTTTATATTTTTCATGAAAAATTGTATTATATACTGGAGTCTATTTGTCTCTATAGCACTTGCTTTATACTTCAAACTATGTTCAGCCATCTAGTACAAGAAGAATGTCCAGCATTTAGTGTAGCTTTCACAAGCTGGAATTAGAAAAGAATATCTTTCATTGAGGTTTATTGTTTTAGTAAAAGAAAGTTTTTTTAAGCTGTGGATTTTATGGAGTGTTTATATCCTCTTAGGAGACATACTTTTTATTTTACATTTCCTCCTGCAAGCTGCAATTATTTATGTACTGTATATACATACGCACACACATATATATATATATATATATATATATATATATATATATATATATATATACGCACACACACACACACACACACACACACACAGGACATAAGGGATGGATCCCCTTATCCCCTTTGTTTGGATTGTGGTCCATTAAGGAGATAGCAAGTCAGCTTAAAATACTTAGAGTGTCCTATATAGATGAGACATAGGTAGGGTGAGGAGTTGTGGGGTGGTAAAGTAAAAGAGGAAAACTGACTGACTGCAGGTTGTTAATTTAAAGGCTCACAGAGATTTTTAGGCGGGAAAGCCTCCAACCATGATTACAAGGACTTTGGTTCTGAAAGGGTTAACCCACCGGTGGAAGAGGGCTAAAAAGACCTGGAAGCAGTCAGTAGGTGTCTGAGAGGTGTAGTGTGGAACAGCACACAGTTGTGGGAGGACTGTAGGGTACTGGCATTGCTATATAGCGGCAGGGAGACATATCCAATCAGATTAATTTTTCTCTTCTCTTCAGTGGGTGAATGGCATGGCAGGGGAATGAAAGGAAAGAGCATATGTACTATAT